CAGGCTGGTCTTGAACTCCTGACCTTAAGTGATCCACCCGCCTCAGCCTCCCAAAGTGCTGGGATTACAGGCGTGAGTCACCGCACTCTGCTAACTATTTTAAAAACAGTTGCTTTTTTCCTTCTTCATGTTTATTGTGGATGATTTAGGAAATGTGTATAAGCAAAAAAAGAATATAAATGTTATCCATGATCCCACTCCTACTAACATGTGGGTCTGTGTTTGTCTATGTGTATTTATAAAACTAGAATTACACTGCATAGTCTTGGCTTTTATTTATTAATTTTTTTTGAGACAGGATCTCACTGTGTTCAGGCAGGAGTGCAGTGATGTGATCTCGGCTCACTGCAGCCTCTGCCTCGCAGGCTTAAGGTATCCTCCCACCTTAGCCTTCCAAGTAGCTGGGACTATAGGCACACGCCAGTATGCCCCGCTACTTTTTTGTAGAGATGAGGTCTCCCTGTGTTGCCCAGGCTGGTCTTGAACTCCTGGGCTCAAGCAATCTGCCTACCTCAGCCTCCTAAAGTGCTGGGATTACAGGCACGAGCTACCACACCCAGCCTATTTATTAATTTTTAAAAATCGAAGTAAAATTCGTTTATTATAAAATTATTCATTGTAAAGTGTACAACTCTATGGCATTGAGGACATTTATAACATTTTGGTACCATCACCTCCCTAGTTGTGAAACATGTTCACCACCCCAAAGGAACCCTGTTCCTGTTAGCAGCCACTCCCCACCCTCTCTTCCCCACTCCCTGGCGATGGGTTTCCTGTCTCTATGGATTTAGCTACTCTGGGCATTTCATATGAATGAGATCACACAATATTTGTCCTTTGTGTCTGGCTTCTTTCGCTTCGCATAATGCCCTCCAGGCTCATCCATGTTGTCGCATGTGTCAGCGCTTTATTCCTTTGCCAGGTTGAATAATACTCTGTCCAGATAGACACATTGTGTCTGTCCATTTATCAGTTGATGGGTGTTTGAGTTGTTTCCACGTTTTGGATGTTGTATGCTAAGTTTTGGGACCTACTTTTTTCTTTTCTTTTCTTTTCTTTTTTTTTTTGAGACAGAGTCTCTCACTGTCGCCCAGGCTGGAGTGCAGTGGCGTGATCTCAGCTCACTGCAACCTCCTCCTCCCAGGTTCAAGCAATTCTTCTGCCTCAGCCTCCCGAGTAGCTGGGATTACAGGTGCCCACCACGATGCCTGGCTAGTTTTTTGTATTTTTAATAGAGACAGGGTTTCACTATGTTGGCCAGGCTAGTCTTGAACTCCTGACCTCATGATCTGCCCACCTCAGCCTCCCAAAGTGCTGGGATTACAGGCATGAGCCACCGTGCCCGGCCTTTTTTTCTTAACTATGTGTAGCAAACATCTCTTCGTGCTACCATGTTTATGTCCTTGCATTTCAGGCATGTACCCATCTTCTGTGTGGCTGGACCATATGGGTAAACTCTCTGGAGGCCTGCATGAGCTAATGGGGATGCTCTGTCCCATGCACAGTGGAGCCTGCCTTCATGGGCCCTGCTGGCCTTCGTGGCACCACCTCTCCCGTAGACATCAGAGCTCCAGTGCTGGCTCTTCCCCCTGCAGACGCGCTCAGTGGTGCTCAGCCAGGCTACCCTGCACAGTGTCTCACTCATCTACGCCAGAGTGATGGCTGCTCAGCTAGCCACGAGGGGGTAGCACACCCTCTGCCCATCTGCAACATGTCTGAAGCCCACCTAGACCCCTTCATCCCATGGACACTGCATTAAGCACCTGCACAAGCACCTGGGCTTCAGGTAGGAGCTACCTGGCGTCCTGCCCACCTATCCCCTGGAGCCAGCCTGTGCTGCTTTCCTTCCTGAGGCTAACCTCTTCATGCCCTGCGTGTGGGGAGACCCAGAGATCCTGGTACTAATTCTTTTTTTTTTTTTTTTTTTTTTT